TGCCTGTAAGGTCAATGTGTCGACAGTCGTCATTAAAGTGGACGCAGAAAAATGATAACAATCCAATCTAAAACGAATTCAAACGTCACACACTCGATTGACGATTGACTTATTTTGAGTGAAACGCCAGCTTTTAGTTTACTCCAATTTTTTTTCTCCTAGAGATACTGACAGTAGCTGTAGGAAGTGCGGAAGAAGAAAAACAGTAAGTAGCTAACTGCTAACCCAGAATGTGGAGAATAAATCCGACATCCTCGGCCTAAGCCGTTTCATGATTACGTCGCAATCTTCAAAAATGCATTAAGAAAGTCTTGTTCCATTATTCCGACGTATAGCATTAAATCTCGTTTGCACGGAAAATAGTTGGTGAGCGGAGCACACGGACATGTCATGATACGCTGACGACAGCTATGTTTACATTTCCGACTTCTGTGCTATACATTGGATTGTACCGCCATTTCATTTGTGTTGTTTCCCATAACTCAGTTTACAATGTCCCCGGTCTACGGTGTTTCGTGGTTAGGTTGTCATCTATCATAATTTTATTAAAAATCTTGTTACAATACTGTTAAAAAAAAATTCCGCAGAGGAACTACTTAGTAAACAAAGCAGACTAATGCGCCATCATGTGGCACTATAAGCAGATGACGGCTTTGTTTACCTTTATTTGCCTGTTTTAGGCCAAACATTGGATTGTGCTACATTCCCTCTCTTACATGTGTTGTTTGTTTTTTTTTTGCCCTTCATCATGGCTCCCAGGTGTAAGTCAGACTCTTGTGATGTTTTTATGTCCTAGATTATGAATTTACACTGTGTTAGCGTAGGTAAACGACATATGTACAGTATGTGAGTTCCGACTTACAGCAAAAATCAAGTTATATCGCACCGCAGAAAAATGTAAAATTTAACTGTTAGCACGTCACTGTAAGTCGCTTTGGATAAAAGCGTCTGCTAAATCAGTGTTTCCCAAACTTTTTTTTCTGGGGACCCATATTTTAAGTCACAAACATTCCCCCTACCCAAGTCAATAGATGTTATTCGTAAAATTCGTAAACCCCTGGGAAACAGGAGGCAAGACAACCCAAAAAAAAAAAAAAATCTCTTGCGACCCACCTGAGGGTCGTGCCCCAGTCTTTGGGAAACAATGTGTTAAATGCATAAATGTATTGTAATGAGGTCTGAACGACAGCTATTTTAATTTTCTTTCCCTGTATTTCTTTGTTCTTGTACGTCTCTGTCGACGCTAAGAAGGACAAAATATAAAACCCCATCTCAGTTATGACCTAATGTGACCCTAATGACCTGATGCCTGTCCTTTAATGACGGCGATGTCAGCATCTTGCTATATTTACGTTTGTCACATCACGGCCCGGGACACAGAGCTAATAGAGCAGCTGCTGTTTCAGCTCCACAAACGTGTAGCGGGCTTTCTTCAAGCATTAATAACAAACAAAGCCCTGGTGTGTCTGACTAGAGAATCACTGCAGTTCTCCGTAACACAGCCTGGGGCCCGTCTGCTGACAGATGACTCCACGCAATGTTATAACAAACATAGGACACAGGAGGAAACATGAGACCCTGCTTGACTTCCAGTCTTTTAAGGTAATCCATCATCTCAGTGCTGACCCACTAACTTTCAGGGACAGACATACAATAGTCTGAGAAGAGTCTGGGAGCGTTGACCCCTAAATCCAAGGCTTTTTTTTTTTCCCCTCGTCGGAGGAGAAAAGGGAAAAACAAAGTAGTGAGCCTGGCACAAATGATGACCTTATGTTGAGTGCAATGCACCGTTCTTAGACTAAAAACCATACATCATGTTCCATCTACACCATGGGTGTCGTTAACGATACAAAGTACTAAGTACTGTCTTGTACTTTGTACTTTGTTCATCAAATTAATCACATGGTATTGATCCTAATTAACTGAGATCGTACGCCAATGTGATTAACCAAGATGAATTCAGATCACTGCCAACTCCCAAACCGGTTCTACAGCACCCCCTTTGGTAGATAGGAATATTACAGGCCCCCCTCCGTGTCATACATTCACAGCTATTTTTACGTAGCCCCGTGAACCTGATTTAAAAGACCCTAAAATGGATATTCTCACTTCTAAGAAAATCAGTGAATTTTGCCAAATGAAGCCTACTTATAGTAAATATATATACATATATATATATTTAATATATTTTTTTTTGGGGAGAAGCTGGGTTGAGGGCAATAAAGGAGTTATAGAATTATTTATCGGGTATATATATATATTTAATATATATTTTTTTTGGAGAAGCTGGGTTGAGGGCAATAATCGGTTTCCAATATCGGAGGAAAAAACGACAACGAGATATTACATTTACGCTAATAACGGCCCTAAAAAAAAGGGGACAAAGCCGAAAAAAAAAGAAGAAGATGCTAATAACGGCCGATATTGTCTGATATCCTTAGCATTAATGAGCCGACAATCACAATCACAATCCATTTGGTAATCATGTCAACTGAAGCTGGTCTGATGCCAGCTCATGGTCTCGCCTTAAGTTAAAGCCATGGTGGAAACCAAAACGTTTTCCAGCAATGTGTGCAAATTACAACACGCGTGTCCATTGTGTATGAGAGCAATGATACACTCGGGGAAAGTGGAATTATTATTATTATTATTATTAATATTTTTTTTATCTGATTACTGTCCACAGATACATTTTGAAAGCCAGTAAAATAAAACACAACTTTGACCGATGTTTATCTTCATTTTGCTGTGTTTGGCACCAAACATCTATTTCCTGTCTGCTCGACATCTATCGGGGCATATCTTAATTGTATCTGGATTTAATGTGCACTCACATTGTACAGGGCACGTCTCTGTTTTTGATTAATGCAGCTCCATGACACCACTTCCCTCATTTATTCACCCAGGAATTAGCTTAGCTCCGGCACTGCCACAATATTTACATGACAAATGGTTTGCTTGTGTTTAGTCTGCGCTCGGATGTGTACCAGGGAAGTGTAATGCTTTCCTCATTACAGTTTGGCAAATGTGACATGAACACCATGAGAGCCTGTGTGTTCTTGTTGTTTGCGGTTCTGCTGGAAGTTTGTTCCACGCTAACAAACGGTAAAGCGATCCAGTGCATTTTAATAAATGAAGGGACAGTAATTAAACACTGATTGTCGGATCAAAGACGAATGAAGACGAAGAGAGGAGGCCAGTCATAACCGAGGAACCGAAAAAAAAGCAACTTTGAATTTGTGATATCTTCCATGTGGAGCTGCAGCTGTTTTACAGCTGTGGCAAAACAAAGAAGGTGATCCTGTCCAGACACAACTGTGCTGAGAATAATAAATGAGGGTCAGTGTGGCTGAGTTACTGTTTTTAATTTTTGCGAGGCCATAAGATCAGATCCCTTAAAACTCGTGATGAATTCATTTTTAATTTCCCCCAGATCCTTAGCATAATAGATGACATCAGTGGTCAGGTAGCAGAAAGAACGAATGCAACACCAAGAGCCGTTGAGCCACATGGCTCATAAAATTAAAGAAAAAAAAAAAGCCGTGGTTCCAAACACAGACCTAACCTGTTTTTTATCTAAAAGGTTAAACATGCTGCGTTCAAATGCCAACAATAAGAGTTGAGAGGGGGAAAAGAGGAATACAAAGCTTTAACTGTTAACAGCTTTGTTTAAAATGTTGTCTGTATTACTGTAAGTCGCCCCCTTGTTTACTTTGGTTACTTTACTTTTTGTACAACACTGTTCATGTATTGCACACGCATAGTGATTCCCAACGTCTTCCGAGGCCACAATGTTGCCGGGAAAGATTATCAGGTTGTATTGTGGAAGATTATTATTATTTTAATTAATTGGACTGGAAACTATTATTTACTTACTATTTAATTTACCTTTGCGTTTTCTACCTTTCGTCTTGAAAAGAGGCTCAGACTCCTGTGTGTCTTTCTTCAATTCCTGGGAGTATGACAGTGTTAAGTTCAACTAAACAGGGTACATTACTAATAATCCTTGTATATATATATATATATATAAATATATATATATATACATATATATACGTATATATATGTATATATATAGTATATTTATATATAATTATTATTATTTTTACGTACGACTCCAAACATCAGAGGTCCTGTAGTACATCAGGGAAAAAAACTGTTTACTGTATATGGTAAATGCCCTAAAGAATATAGCAACAACATCAAAGTTTCCATTATAAAATAGGAAACTGGGGTCACAGTCGGTTGGTCGATAGTTTGATTCCCTGTTTTCTTCAAAATAATTTTTTTTCTTCTTCGATGAACACAATAAAAGAGACTTCCTGGTAATAGTTTTCAAAGTGAGCACAAAGGAAAACAACAATCCAACATGATGTGCGATGCTGGGGCATCTAAAATCTAAAGGTAGGTGGAAGATGAATACATATAGAGAAAAGCTTGTTGTGTTCATAAATAGAACCTTTTTCCAATTTGTCAGAACTCTGTCTTACACTACACAATTTATTTTTTATTTATTTATCTACTTATTTTTCCCAATAACAATAAAAACAGGCACACACACAAAAAAAAAATCTGTCAACAAAAATGTTCACAAAAGAACGGACATTTCTCCCATTGAAGCGCGAAGTGAAGTTTATCAGTTTATCACGAAGTTTTAGTTTATCACGTTGGAAACGACAGCGGAAGAAACAGGACTGTTTACATAAGTCTAATTTAATGGTTTCAAATATTCTAACCCAAAGTGTCACTTTACATTTGACAACCTTAATACAATTCAAATGGATTTTCTGAAGTTTTCCTGAACGCAATTCTGGAGTGTTCAATCTAGTCTACCCGCTAACTGGTAATTTAATATTATTGTGTTTGCATTTTTCTCCTTTGCTGAGTTAAATTCAAGACCGCAACTTTTAATCTCACCTCGCACGACCCTCATCTTTATAAACCGGTGTTGACAACAAGGCATCACAACAACGGGAGTGGGTCACAGTAAGGACACCTACCTCTGCTTGGCTTTGTGTCCGTGTCTTCTCGCGGCTGTTTCCACAGATACAGTAACACTTCTCCATCTCCACTCCATTAAACGCAGTCGGTCCGCGGCCTTGGTCTGGGTTACAGCGTCTGCCACCTCCGGGGAAATAAGGATACGGATCTGAGGTTACCACCAGGTCCAGCATATGGGAACTGTTTTCCATCCAGCACAGGTGCATTCATCCCAAACTCATCTCCTCGCACACACTCATTTGGCAGACATTCAGAGTCAGGAGCAAAGCGTTGAGCGGAAAACGGTTTCGGACGGTTTCACTTTCACAGAAATAATGGGGTTTTTGTAGTGATTAAAATGTACGAACAATGTCTTTTTTTTTTTTTGTAAAATTTTAAATAAGCTAGCTCCAATCCACCTTGTACAAAATTTGTACATGCGTATTTAATTATATAAAAAAAATTTGTACATGCGTATTTAATTATATAAACAAATTATACTTAAATAAATTAAAAAAAACTAACCTCATCGCACGGTATAAAAATATTCTCATAAACACTACTACTAGTCGAGGTGACGGAATGACTTTTTTTTAAATTGCTTGCGAGCTAACTGTACAACCTTTTGACACATATACACACACATAGACTGCACTTTTTAATTAATTAAAATGTCGACTTTTGATTTTAAATGAAATAAAGGAAATGTTTATTTACGTCTTTGCTTTTTTTCGCATGCCCCCTAGTGACCGCTTGCGCACCCCTCCCAGCCATATACTTTTTTATTTGATCAAATTTTTTTGTGTCATCAGTGGTATAAATGTGTGTCTTTTATGTATATATTGATTTTTTTATCTACTAATATTAATATGTATCTTTGCATTCATGTGCTTTATTTTAAGCAAAAAATAAAAAAAGTGCTGAAATCAATTTACAGTCAGTTCACAGTAGTTAAATGACTGTACGAGAACTTCAGTAGTGCTAAACATTCTTTATACTGATCATGTAAAACACATGCGTCTGTTTGTGACATACAGAATCATATTACTGTGAGTATTTTTCTTAAGGGCAGGCTTAGGTTTTCATTTGGAAGATGCTAACACTACTAGCTCACGGCTAATTCCCACCCGTTCGTCAATGGAACACAATCCCTCAGCGCGTCAAGTTAAACCCGATCCCTTTTGGGTGATTTTACAGCATGAGAACGCGTCCTTCTGCTGAAGTTAGCTGACAGGAGCTGAGGGGATGACGTAAGGTCTATACATTTAGAGCGGCGAACAGATGCAGATGAAAATAACAACAACAGAAGAACTGGTTCAGCCTCCAGGCCACTGGCTCAGCTGAAAAATGAAACCATATGGTAACGAACACAATCCGCCCACTTCATCCATACCAACAAACACAGACATTTGGTGCAATGGCGTCCTCCAGAAACAAGTCAAACGCATCGCTGCATTTCTGCTTCTGGGCAGAATGAGAGCAAAGTTAATAGAAGAATAAAAGCCTCCTACGCATCTCAGTCTTTCAGAAGGAGACAGACTCTGAGGGACGATCTTCCACATTGATTTAAGTTCAAATTTCAACACCTTTCTTCCATAACTACTGTGTTACTATGCTATACATGGTACGGCATGTTTCTACCAGAGATGGAAAGTAACAAATTACCTTTACTCCCATTACTGTAATCTAGTAGATTTGTTATTTTCCAAGTAGTTTCAGGAATAGGTCATTTTTGACCCAAACATTATTCGCTACAACCTGAAAAAAAAAAACAGTTACTGCGTAAAAAAATGAAATGCGGGAAACAAAAACAAACAACCTGGACGTGCACGCAGCTATTTTCCACTATTTTAATGTAGCCAAATAACGTTGCATAGACACAGACTCTAGCCCAGGCATGAGCAACCTAAGGCCCGAGGACGGATGCGGCCCGTTCAGCTTTTTAATCCGGTCCGCCAAACGTTTCCAGATTATAGAATTTATTTATATTATCATTATACTTCTGACTTTTTCCTGCAATACCCACGTTTCCCCAATAGATGGTGAAGAAAATGATAAAAGTCTTTTAGCATTTTAGCCTTTTTGCATGTCATTTATCTTAGTTCACACGAACGCTCCATCTATCTATTATCTATAATTTAAAGTAACTATGTAACTTTTACTCGAGTAGATTTTTAGATGGGTACTTTTACTTGAGTGGAATTGAATCAAAGTAAAGATACTTTTACAGTACTTAATCACTTTTTTTTTTTTTTTACCTCTGGTTTATACACAGTACAACTGCAAGAAGAGTCGCTGAATAATTCAGTGGCTTGGAATATGACTTTCAACCCCCAAAGTACAATAAACGCTTGAAATTATCATTTGCTTTCCCCGTCGTAGCTACTTGGAAAACAATTAAAACTGAGAAAATGGCAATAAAAGAATATACATTGCTCAAATTAATTTCCCCTGTCTGCACTGTTTGTTTTATTCGTGACTAATCGTTGCTGAAAGGACAGTTTATGCAGTGCTCGCAGGATAATTGGAGGCATAAATGGGAAAACAAATTCACTGAAAGACGATTAACCACTCGTGCACCACGACGTAACCATTCTGGGATTCTTTCCTCTTTGTGAAAATACTGGGAACAAAAAAAAAAAACCTCATCAAAGATGAGAGGACGCTTTAGACCGACTGCCAACTGAGTGGCGTTCATGGTTTGTGGCAGAGGTTAATAACCACTCTGGTAGCTAACTGATGGGGTTCCAAGAGCCATGAGAATGTGTCTGGGAAATAAAACAGAGGGTAAAATGAGCCCCAAATCTAGGGAGTGTCCCCACATCGTGTGCAGTTACTTCTAGAGCAGTTAATAATGACGACCAACTGGCAGCACTACAGGATCAGTATGAGGAGAGCAGTGTCACTGCACGACCCACACGGGTGGCAGCGTCTGTGATCAGCACTGTTTCCTCTGCACGTCTTTGTTAGTTATCATTAGTGCCTGGGAATGGAATGCCAGTCACTGTCTGGAAAGTTAAATATATAGTTGATTATAAGTACTTCTGTTGATTGAGGTCTATGCGTACTGTCATTATGAGTCAGTGAGAACGACTGGGTCCGTATGGCCTTTGGGAATTTAGCCCAGTCATAAAGTGAAACCAAACACGTTTATTTAAACGTGCACAAAATATCAGTACATGTGCAGTGCAACATGAATACATTTGTTTTTATGAGACCCAATAACTGAATAACAACAACTAAAACCTAAAGAAAAATGAAACAAACGAGGCGTTCACATGCCTGGTTTTCCTTTCTATCCCATCCTGTAAAATCCGTCTATAAATAGTTTTCTTGCTTATCTCTTCTATTCTGACAGCTGCAATTTGAATGCCAGCGCCAGCGGAATTCCAATGTGTGAAGCAAGGACACATTGCAGTAACCCGTCTGAGCCCACCTGAGTAAAGTACTACTTAAGTCAGCTGTGTTGAGCCCACCTGAGTAAAGTACTACTTAACTCAGCTGTGTTTTGGTTTTGTTTTTTTTAAGGTTCCTCCTGTTTCTGTAATCGAGCTGTGCACGTTGTGATTTTGTTGGTGTGATACTCGACAAAACATTCTGGGGAAATGAAAAAGAACATCCATTCAGCAAATGCCTAATAGTTATTGCGCAGATTTCATATCCAGAGTAAATGGGCCATGACAGCCCACAGATGTCTGGTGTTGACGGCCACTCTCTGCATTCCGTGCTAAAAACTATTTTTGAAAAACGCAATTTTTCCGTTCCTGCATAAATCTTGTGAGATCAAACAATATGCTGCAATTGAAAGGATGTGGCTTGGGTACAGAACTAAAAACCATAAAAAAAACGGTTACGTTCGAAGGAGCCGGGGAAACAGAAGTGAAGCACTCGAGAGACCTGGATCAGTTGCGGAAAGTTTGTTCGCAGAAGTTCAAACTTAAATCATACAACTCACTGGGAATCCAAGGGCCGGGAGGGAACAAACTACGAGCAGGAATATCACCAACGGGACCGATCAGGAACACAGATGAACATGACTTGAAGCACGGAATGCGACGCATGGACACTTTTCCCGGGAACTTTAAACCCACCACAACTCTAAACAATGACCCGGCAAGGACTGAGTGCAGGAGGGAGGTATTTATACCCACGGCACGAGGTGACATGCTAATTGTACGTAGAACTCAATAGGATATTATTAAAATTATTCCTACGATACGCCAAGAAAAGTACATCCGTTTAAGGTTTGCTAACATCAAATACAATCTAAGAAGCCCGTATCAGCCAATACTGCGGACCGGTTAGTACCGCGGTATTGTTGAAGGACCATCTTTTAGACTTTATTTTGGTAGTATCGGAGTCTGAGTCTCAGGCTTTAAAAGTCTTCCTTCGTTTCTCTGCCCTTGCTTCTCATCCCCTCTTCCCCAGTCGCTCTGAAAAGACCTTATTTTGGTAGTATCGGAGTCTCGTTTTTTCACTGTGTCCAACTGCGACCCGGTACCAAATGACCTATGGACCAGCAACGGTCCCCGGACCGGGGGTTGAGACCCCTGACTACTACCACTACTAATGATTCTAATAATATACTTAGCAGCGATAAAATATACGATTCTTGAAAACCTCAATTCTTGAATTCGTTGAAATGTAAACACTTCAGCACATGCTTTAAAACTCTTCCTTCTTTTCTCTGCCCTTGCTTCTCATCGCCTCTTCCCCAGTCGCTCTGAAGTCCTCACCCCCCTGCTGCCCTCTCCTCCATGCATCTGTTCACACGGATGACATTTCTCATCATTTTCTCAATGGTCTGTCTGTCTGTCTGTCCTCGTGAGCCTCCGTCATTTCTTTCCGCTTGATCGTTCCCTCATCCTCGAACGCACACACGCGCACGCCACGCCACGCCGTCACCTCGTCTTTCTGCACTATCGGCTGCTCCGCTTACGTGTCTGTCACCGAACCGCCAATCGTAAGAAAGGATAACCACATGGGAGCGTTAACCCATGGGTTGTTCAGTGAATGAATCAGGTTTTATGAGTTGAGTTTAAGATTGAACTATAGAGGTGGGTTTTTAACAAAGCTTGATGATTATTATTTTATACAACATTATAAGAACTTTTTCTTTACATTTACGAGTAACTGCTAAAACTG